TCCTCAGAGATCAGAGGGCCTGAGTGAGACATGTTTTAATTTCTGATTATAACCAATTTGGTAGTATGGGTCATGTTCAATAAGAACTTTCATAATCACGGATTAACAAAAAGTGTAGTTCATTCAAGCAACAGGTTATGGGTTCTTGTTAGATTAGTGGTGATAAATGCACTATGTCCACAGAATATAAGTGTATAGTGCTGTGTAGAGGTGTTCCCAGGTACACTCCAGTGCAGTTTGGTGGAGGTGCAGATCCTAAAAAAGAGATGTTGCTGCTCTGGGGAGGACAGAGCAGCCAGCCCACAGTCTTGTCTGCAAAGTGGATTCATATTCTTGTCCTCCCAAAGATTTGAAATATAAAATTCATATTTTGGCAAAATGGAGATGTGACTGTAGTCAAATATGGTTAGTTCAGGAACATCATATCCTGCAAGTGCAGGATTCAGTTCAGGAACAGCTGTATTCTTGTGCTGATATTGGTGGGGATATTTTTAATATTCAAATTAGAGACAATGAGGGTCTTTGGTTACCTTTTTTTAGAAGGAGTTGTGTGACTTATAGAGAAACAGAGACAGAACAGAACCATGACACTTCAGCATCCTCCTCCTCCAGCTGAGGCAGCAGCAAAGGCCATCTGACCTTCCCCAGAGAGTCTTTGCATCCTCATCTCCTCAAAGGACAAGAATTATCACAAGGCTCCCATGGATGAGGGGGATGAGGCTGGTACAGAGGCCCTGTTGTTGTTCTGTGCTTCTCAGAGACAACACTGGGCTGTGAGGTCTCTGCTTCCTCACAGACAATGCTCTGTTGTTGAGCCTTGCCCCAGCCAGGTGCAAGACAAGCATGGCTTAGCTCATGTTTTTGGTCAATCCTCCTCATCAATTCTTCATGAAAATTTTGGCTGCCACATCATGGTAATTATCAATCCTGACACAGCAAGCCTGGCAGATTTCAAGTATCATCTAAAGGGCAAATCAGAAGTGTGGATGAGAGCATTTAGAACTGTTATGAACATTTTACAGATGTGATGTACTCCTGTTCCTTTTCTACCCACAACACAAATGAACCTGCGTGGGTATGGTTTTGAGATGCCCTTCTGGCACACAGCACAGTAGGATGGTTTCCTAACCCATCTTAATCTCTTAAAAATTAAATGTTGACATTTTGATATGCTGAATACCATGGGAATCAACAGAGTCCCCGATGAGAGATCAGCTTGCAGTGGGTTTCAGTGAAAAAGGTCAGAGGGAAAATTGTGTGATTAATCTTTGACAAGATCAATTGACAAATTATTACAAATATTTTAGAATCATGATAGGTCACAACATATTTGTGTAATATGTTAAAGATTACCTGCACTCAAAAAAGCCCCAAACCAAACCAAAACAGTAAGTAAAAAGAGTCCTTGTGTTCTTTTATTGTTCCTTTTTTTAATATAAAGGATTTCAGTGTCTCCTTAAATTTGTTGGTTTGGGTTTTTCCACCCTAATGTTTTACCTTAAAATTGTGAGATAGTGATGGAGAAAGTCACCTAGCCTCACCATCTGAAGCTAACTTTGCAGGTTTTTTTGTTATTAATCAGTAACTATATCTAGGCAGCTGGGATTAAGCAGCAGCATTGTGAAATTTATAGAAACTTGTAGGCTTGGCTAATCCTTTGTTTTAAGGAAAAGGGAGCACAATCCCGAGATGAATGGGCTGTCTGGATGAGAGCCATCAGCAGTGAAGTCAGCAGGACTGAGCAGTAACTGGGGGAAAAGTGGTTCTGGCAGGGGAATTGTGACCATGGACCCATTGACCACCTCCTCAAAATGGACCCCCAATGCAAATGGAGGGAAGAACTGTCCACGAGGACTAATCAGCATCAGAAGAGAGAGATACAAATTAGCAAATACAGGTTTGAGTGCTAAATAATGAAGAACTATGTAATTTGTTACCACTTCACACTGAATTGCTTAGTCGTTTGTTAAAATGTGCTACAAATACTAAATGATAAAGTCAAATCAATTTTTTATATATATATATATATATATAAACAATAATAACATATATCACAAATGCATAAATACTGTGAAGTTTTGATGACTGGGGAGTCAAGCCTTTGGGGCTTACCACATACCTCCCTACTTTGTGCAAACTACAATAAAGAAATAGAAATATTTCTCCTTGGTGTATGAATTTGAGTTGCCCACTGGGTAATGACCCTTCATTTGGGACAATAAAAGCACAATGAGGACACAAAAAATATGCTAAAACTCACATTTAGGGGCATAAATGTAAAAGTTCATTTGTAGGAGCAATGATGGTTATCGTGAGGATGGAAAAGGGCTCTGTGAAAAGTGCATATTATATGGCTCTTCACAGATATTTACTATATGTATTATGTTGTATTGATTAGTAGTGCTGTATTAACATTTTAATAGTATTGTAAATGTAGTTTTGTAGTTAAAATGTAGTTTTTGTAGTTAAAATAGAAACTATGTATGTGGGATATTTTTTAAGGAGAAGAATGAGGTACTCACACCGAGATAGCAGCCACAGGACACCTAAATCTTTCAGAGAAAGAGAATTTATTGCTCCTTTATCAGAAGAAACCAACTTCTTCCTGCCTCTGACACTGTCAGGATTAAGAGGAAGAAGTTGACACTAAACAGAATCCTTTGTTTGTATGGAATTTCTGCATCATGTATGAGATGTATGAATATGCAACAGGCTATTGCTTTTAAGGGTTAATCCTCTGTTAACGGGTGTCCTTTTTTGGGCTTATTCTGCCCAGAAAAAGGTACCCAGACTGTCCATAACTCTTTGTTTCTATTGTTTCGTATTGTCCTAAATCCTAATTGTCCAAATTTTTATTACTCTAATTATATCACTATTTTAATAACCATTTTATTACTATTAAATTTTAAAATTTTACAAACAAATGATTGGCATTTTTCACAGCTCCTCTCAAGTCAGTTGAACTGGAGATGGTCAAAAGATTGGATTTGACCTTAAGAGAGTTTGGTGACAGGAAATACTCGTGCACCATTGTATGAACTGCTTAGGAAACACCCTGGTGAGAACTTATGGAGGTGACTTGGTTTGCAACAAACTGAAACAAACCTACTTTCAGTTGTCCACACATGCACCAGAGGTGTGTGGTGTCCAAGGAGGCCACCCAGGTTCCAGATACCAGGGCCTAGGCATTCAAGCTGTGTGACCACCAGGTGGGCACCACAAGGCCATCCAGGCCTCCTATCCAGAACTGTTGTGACAGGGAGGACAAGTGATGTGGTGTATCAAGGACTCCTCAGCTCCTGGGTGGTTGTTGGGTTGCTGACCTTGGGGCAGGGTTTGGATAGTCTTGTGTCTTCCCAGTGGTCAATTGTGTTTCTGTCTCTGGGCATCATCAGAAGTCCTTACAGCTCTTTGTCTCCATGGCTGACCTGTGAAACTGGATGGTTCTTGATGAGCTGCTAGCTGGGTGCTGTTAACACAGGCTCTTCTCCCTGATGGGTGCACTTGGCTCTCTCCACACCCACACATTCCCACTTATGTCCCATTCACACCAATTTTAGCCTTTCTATTACAGCTCTCACCATTAAGCTCCTGGACATGGTTGTTTTCAGCTGATTATGTTGCAAAGATAAGACCTAAGGCCAGGCCTAAATTCCTTTCCTTTGACCCAGAGCAGTGTTCATCACCAGGGTGGTTTTATTTATTTTGTAGTGACACAGCTGTATTGACAGAAACTAAGAAGCCTCAACTATACTAACAAAAGAAAGATCCTGCCAGTGTACATATGCCACTTGAGGATGAATCATTAAAACCAATTGTTATAAAATTGACTCAAAACGACTAATTTCCAATCAAAGAATTTATTAATTATTGAAGCAGTTATACTATGTTGTGAATGGTGGGAGAAATGCGACACACCATATGCGTGAATAGCAAATCTCGAAGTTTATTGAAAACTCACACATATTTATATTGGTGTTAATGAAGCTTATACATATTGCAAAAGCTGAGTTCATTATTGGTTAAAGCACACTTAGATTAACTACACTTACTTCTATCTTCTAATAATTGTTTTGCTTCTATGTTTGCATTCTTCTAGCTTTTCTGCTTAAGATATCTACATTTTCTGGCAAGTGATTTTCTCTCCCGTCTTCCTGTTTCAGAGAAGGTTACTGTGACTTTTGTCAGTGATTGGACACTAGTTGCTTAGTTCTCAACTTGTTTTTCTTATCTTTATCTATCGGTATCACATCGAAATGTCTTTTCTCAGCTAACTAATTATCTAAAAAACTCTCTACAATACTACGTAAGCAAAAGGCTCAGGGCTGGGCGACAGGGGAGTTTCTGCTCTACCAACTGCCGCCCCAACTAGTTTCTGATTCAGTCCTTTTATCCTCTCCATCCTTCAGGAGTCCATGTTATCTCGGAGTTCTCTGCGCCTGCGCTGGTTGTTGCTAGGGGTTCATCCTTCTGTCTCCTGGTGGTCTGTGATAAAAGGCTGCGGAGTCTTCCTCAGCTGCGTCTTCTTCACCCTATGTCCTTATTTGGTGACTTCTCCGTGGAAAATTACCAAGATCTTATGATTAACGCAATATGTGCCCTATTAAGCTTAAGCAAGCAAATATCCTGCCTTGAAAACTGTTTATCTGCCCCTGCCCCTTCCCCAGCTTTTCCTTGGTCGTTATTTCTGTGAGTTATCTGCTTGTACCATTTGTCAGCAGGAAAGGTTTCCCTGCTGGGTGTTAATCTGCCCCTGCCCTTTCCCCAGCCTTTCCCTGGTCGTTATTTCTGTGAGTTATCTCCTTGTACCATTTGCTGGGTGGGACCATGTGTGGGCTCCTGCAACCCCTTCCCTGGTATCCTTGTAGCTCATATCTCATGAAGTAGTACAGAAATAGTCAGCAGACAACTCTTGTAACACACTGGTCTCTTTCTCGTGACGAACAAAATGTAGTCTCTCATCTCACCAAACATCACAAAGACTCTCTAACTAGTCAAAGTTAGAAAGTGGTATGTTTATTAAAGCTGCACGAGGATTTTTGCCTTCTTTTTATTTCCCAAAATAATACATATGCACAACCCCAGCACCTCCCATCCCCACTTTGTATTAAAATGAAGTTATTAGTCCTTCACACATGCACAATTCTTCTCTCAGATTGGGTTGGTAGTCTCGAATTGGGTCAGTGGTCCCAGGGATGAAGTCAGGGATGTCTTCATCAAGTCATGACCCTCTGTGACCCTCTGGCACAATCCAAGGCCCCCTGCTTCGTGATGGATTAGAGTAATAAAAATTTGGACAATTAGGATTTAGGACAATAGGAGACAATTAAAAACAAAGAGTTACAAACAGTCCAGGTACTTTTTTCTGGGCAAAATAAGCCCAAAAAAAGGACACCTGTTAACAGAGGATTGATCATTAAAAGCAATAGCCTGTTGCATATTCATACATCTCATACATGATGCAGAAATTCCATTCAAACACAGGATTCTGTCTGGTCAGTGTCAACTTCTTCCTCTTAATCCTAACAGCATCAGAGGCAGGAAGAAGTTAGTTTCTTCTGATAAAGGAGCAATAAATTCTCTTTCTCTGAAAGACTTATGTGTCCTGTGGCTGCTATCTCGGTGTGAGTTCTTTCTTGAAAAAAGTATCTTACATAGAATAGTTTCTATTTTAACATTATGTTATAACCTAAAACTATATTTAACACACTACTTAAAAAAATACAGCATAAACTTCTAACATAACACATATAATATTCATTTTAATATTTGTGAAAAGCCAATCATAAAATACGCATTTTTCACAGTTCTAACCCTCAACTAAAATTCTAACCCTTTAAAATCATGATTCAAGGAAACCTATATGAACTATGCATAATTGTCTTCAGCTTTTCTTCATCTTTCTCTTATTTTTGCAATAGCTGTGCCCTGATTTTATTATAGTTATCACATAGTGTATATATATCTGTTGTGGGAAGGATGTTAGCAGTTTTTTTCCTTCCAATGATAACAGAACACTTACTACATGTAGCAATGCTGATCAGGATCCAGAGTTCTGCACACCCAGTCCTAGAAAAGACAGGAATCCCAGCAAACCCACACTGTAGAGGCACTCCCACCTCTGCAGTGAGAACGGTTGATTTTTCTCCGGGAGGTTGGGGCTTTCTTTACCTTGGTATCCTGTTTATCTGTAGATTACCCAGGAGAAGACTGGTAGCTAAGATTCTTCATGCACTCTTGCTAATCAAGATAAGTTTTTTACTTCAGATGCAGACTAAGAGCTTTTCAAATGTTGCTGTAGGTGTCATGTTTTCCTAAGGGTGATTCTGGATAGCCCTAATACCTTTTTATGTCTTGTATAGCAGTTTAGAGTTCCCAAATATTCCAATTACACGGTCATTTATTATTTAGTTTACAAATTAAGCTGCAAATGGCTGGCAAATACAAATGTTCTTTCTCCTTCCCCGCCTTCTGAACATACTTACCTGCTCTTTACTTTTTAAGGTCATCAAACAAAGCTGTTAAAGCCAAGGAAAATTAAATCAGAAAATTAAATCCTCTAAAACCCTGTTTGTCTGGCCTTCCTTCCAAACCTATTCCACCCTGGTCATCCAGCCTTTACCTTCAGAAATAATAAACAAGAATGAGCTTTGCTGATGAAAATTCAACAAACGTGTGTTGAAAAGATGGTTTGTTTTTTCCTAACAAAACTCATGCATTGCTGCCTGCTGAAGCATTTCTGTGGTGCACTGAAGCAGCATACATTGTTTGTGCTGAAAGCAGAGGAAAAGGTATGGGTGGCCTGAGAGCAGAAGTTTGATGGGAAGACTGATCAGTGACAGCTCCAGAGGTGAGTCAGCCCACACAATTTTTTTCAGTCAGTAACTTGAAAATAATTGAATAGGAACAAATAATTGAATAGGAACAATTCATGACATAGTGTAGGCTCATATCATCCTACAGACACATGCTGACTGTGTAATGGGAAAAGCCAGGCAGAAACCCAGGCAGAGGAGATTCCTGAAGTTTCTGAAGTGGTTTTTGGGTGGGCAATCACAGCTTTCCAGAGAGTGCTTCTTTACCTGTCCTCCATCGGGGAAGGCCCCTCAGACTTTAGGCAGCAAAAAGAGACTCAGCCCTTTTAGAGAAAAGTCCCTTGGCCTCTGTAGGGGCCTGAGGGACAGAAGTGTGCTGGTGCTGTGTCCATCTGCTCCATTCCTGCACAGTGAATGCATCTGTCCTTGAGGAGGGGTACCTTGAGATGCTGCTTTCTTGTGCAGACTGTGCTAATGCAGCCCTCGGTATAACCTTTTATATATTCCCCCTCTTGATGCCTTGAGAAGGCTGACCTAGAAGAGACTAGACGGGGTTAAAGAATAAAGTATTTATTATCTATTTATTAGAAGGCTTCAGTGGATACACCTTGGGCAGCACAAGAGGTCAGCCAGGGCTACACCCAAGATGAACCCAAAATGGTCACCGAAAATCGATGACCAGTCACAGTCACAGTCTCACACTTTGATAAGTTCTGGTCCATTTGCATATTGGAGTTAATTGTCCAATTACAGCTTTAGCTTATCAAGTCACATCCTCCTTGTTTTTCTCTCTTGAGTCCACCATTGTTTATGCTCTTGGGCCTGAAATTTGGATCATTTGTCCTTGGTCCCCAGCTAGAGAAGGAATTGTTTTGTTTCCCTACTCTGTGAAGAGAGCTCACCATCCCCCAATATGAGGCTCAGAACTACACACCAAAGCAGCACAGAATCTGAAAAATACAAAAGCTAAAACCTGAAGCATCACTCTACGATGCAGTAAAAAGCTGCACTTTTAGGGGATTTCCAGTAAGTCCTTTCTGAGCTGAGTCTTCTTACCAGAGAGTAGAGAGAACCCAGATTTCCTCTTGGGGCCACAGTGGATAATAGGCTGAATGAGCCTTCCTGAGGCATATTGTCCCCTTCAGAAAGTGATCAAAATGTGTGTGGGATGGAGGTCCTCCAGCCTGCCATTTGTGCAATCCAAGTGGAAGGAAAGATCTTTGGGAATTATCAAAAATACAAACATCTAATAGAAATGAATGGCACCTTTCCCCCCTTAAAATGATATATAAATAACTGGACTTGATGGTACAACTTCTCTTAAGACATGATCCTGTAAAAATGTATGAAACATATCACAGCTTTTCCATGTTTAGAAAGTTCAGCCCTGAGAAAGAAAGTTCTATTAATCTGCTTTTTATTCAGTGCTTGTGTCACCGCGAGAACATGTTATGCATTTTTTGGGAAAGATTCTTCATTTGGCATAGTGTACATGACTGTACACTGCCAGTAATTTTGCTTATTAGTTAAATGAGGGAGCAAACGCTTGTGAGAATACTCTGTATAGATTTTGGTTGGGCTAGTCAATCTTTAAAGGTCCCTTCCAAGCCACTCTGATTCTGTGATTTTAATGTGTGTGCCAGGCATTCTGGGAATGCATAACATTTGATTGAACAGGGTTAAAAAGCAAAAGCTATCAGTATAGGGACAGAAGAGAAAACACAGTTTAGCACAGAATAATTGGCTACTCAATCTATGTTTAAATTCTTGGGCTGCTTCTCCTTTACACCTGATATGACCAAATGCTGTTTACGGGAGAAAAGTGTCCAGCTACTGATCTGTATTATTTTGATAGAAGTGCCTCCCTAAATACATTCAGTGATAACATATATCCAGGAAAACAATGAGATTTTGTCAGTTTGTTCCCATGAGATCAAATCACAGCTTCTCTGTGTGACCTTGCCTCCCCACCTTGCTTTTCACTTATCCAGGCAGAAGGGCTTATACTGTGCTTGGAGATAGCATTTAAGTATGAATTAGCTTAGTTGTCCTTTAATGAGCTGGTTATATTCTGGCAAAAGAACAGCTATTCACTCATGAGAAATCACAACCAGGACCACTGCTGTCTTTAGCACTACAGAAAACATGAGCTCAGTGACAGAGCCACCTCTGACACAGAGTGGTCTCACCAAATCCTCTGAATTCCTGGCTTTCCCCAGTAGATGATCATGGACTGAGAGCCATGAGTACATTCAGAGAGTGAAAAAATAAACGTGGTTTGATAAAATTAATTTAAATGGTACCTTACACGCTTAGGATCTCAAAAGTCATGGGTAGCAAGCTTGCAGGTTTGATGTCCAAATTCCCAGCGAGACACACAAACCACAAGGGTCAAAATCAGAGTCTTACTTGACAGAATCAAATACACGAACATCAATGTACAAGTGTACACATTTTGCTGCTGGGCTCCTTAAAAATCATCGCTGGTTTTATGGGTTAAGAGTTGCTGCTTGGTGTACATCCAAAATTGCTGGGTTATGCCAGAAGGTCAAGATGACCTAAAGAATCAGGAAAGCATTCAAAAGCATACCTAGGAACAATGACTTTGAAGGCCAGCCTAAAGATCTTGGCTTCAAGGTCCAACTCAAATCAAGAATATGAACTACATAATTAACTGCTTTGGCTCGAAACCAATGTCCATAAAGAAGAAGTAATTCCAGCAGCAGGAGATTGTGACCAGTGACTGAAGAAACCCCCTGACTCAAAAGATGAGCAGTAATTATGTTGCCTGCAGGACCAGCTAGCAAACAATGAACAGGTATTAGATAGGGAGAGAGAGCCAGATCCAAAGCCAGATCCAAGTTGTTATAAATGACTACTCCAATTTAATAATTAAGGAAATGCACTAAATTATCAAAGTATAAATTTGGAAAAAAACACAAGCAATTTATCTCTGAGCCAGGCAATCAAAGTTGGGGAGACTCAGGGTTTGGCCTCTATTGCACCAAAGTCCCTGTGGGTCTCCGAAATGTCATTTTGAAGAGGTCGTTTTATACAGTCTTTTGGGCTCTGGAAGCGGGCTCCTCTTTAGCATATTTTAGCATATTATTGTAGCTTCTTCTTTCTTGCTGCCATGTTTCCCCAGAATCAGTGGATAACTCCTGGAATCCTGTCAGGTGAAAACTTTCTGGGATAAATTTCTGATGATGCCTATCAAATGCCTCCTGCTGGGGTCTTGTCAGATGAAAAATCCCTTGAAATATAGATCCCTGGAGACACTGTCCTCCTGGTGTTTGAATCTCCATTCTTTATCACGTAGTCTATTACTGCTCATTGCCCAACACTGGCTTGATACACAAGATGCTGTGGTTTTAATTTCCTTTAGCACGAATTATTGTATAACATATATCACACGGTTATGCATATATTCTTTTTTACCTGCCTTGTGCTCAGTCCCCTCACAGTGGAGGTTTTTTCCTTTTTAACCCTTTAACCCCTCCCAAAGTTCTGTCCATCAACCCCCTCTTCGCTGTCCAGTGGTGGAGATCTCCTCCCCAAATCCTGATTGGAGGTCAGGTGTCACCAGAGTGACAAGCCAGCCCTCCCAGATGTTCCAACTCCAGCTGTCCCTTGATAACTGTGTGAGGGGGTACAACATAACTATAAATCTATAAAACTTTTTTAACCTATATACATGATATTTGTCTATTAATTGTGAGAGTCAGTCATCGCATGACTCATCTATCACACTTGCTTTAACAGAAAGGGGCTCTTCATTTGGGGGAGCAGCAGCAGCAGAGAATGCAGGTCCTGGGCTGAGTCAGGAGTAGGAGATGACTGCTTGTCCTGGGAACAAAAGGGTGAATCACTCCCTTGAAAGGCCACTCAGGGCAGAGACACCGAGCAGCTAACAGCTCTTTCAGCAAGCTAAAAGCTCTTCCCAGCTCCAGACACTTGTGCTACCGTGCCTGGATGAGGAACTGCAGTCTAGAAAATTAGAACAATGATGATATTCAAGGGAGAGTGAGCTCAAAATTTACGCTGCTGCTGAAAAACTAATAGATTTGCAAGAATGAGAGTATTTTCTTGGAAGTGGTAGATTTGCTTTTGATTCAGGAACAGGAGTGATAAGATCCACCAGAATGATGTTAGGATCCCACTTCTGGAATAATGTTAGGGTCCAATAATTAAAAGATGCCTCTCCCTGAATTAAGGTGCAAACAAGATCATATGCCAAAGTCAGTGGTACAAATTTTACCTAACAATAAATGTGAGGTAGAGAGAGAGATTGAAATAGGAACAGAAGCAGAAGAGAGAAAAATTATTGTCACTACCACATGGGTTCTTC